CCACCTCCTGTTCATTTCACCCCTGCCCCAATTTCCCCTATTTCACTAAAACATCTGTGTCTGTTTGTACATTGTATTTTTGTTTTCAAATACCGACACATGTTCGCTAGCTAAAAGTACACTGAACTTCATTCAAGGGGGTAAACTTACTTTCCTATCATCAGTTGATGGCACTGCATTTCTACGAGTACCTCGGTATAAAGACTGGTATCTTGGGTGCATCCACCCTTTCCTTGGACTCATTGTAACAGACAGTTTCGGACTCGCATATTATTATGGTATAAGCTATGCTCCATACCCGTGGGACAGTGGGTGGTTGGCGGGTGCTCTGGTGTGGTTTGCTTCTTCGTTTCTATCCCTATCAAACATCTATCGTCCTTATCTCCCCTCCTTCTTTTCTTTGGCGTGTGCTCTGGTGTAGTCTGTTTTTTTGTTTCTTTATTTCTATTCCTTTAAAAAATTGTTATTTTCTTGTAACACCTCTAATCTTCGACACTTATAAAATGACTTAATTTTGTTGAAAATGCCTTAAACTTAAAGCTCTTACTAAAACAAAAAACAACAACAGTGGGACTCAAAATGTACTAGTAGATGAAAACACCGCCAATACTAACAGTCGGCTGTTGTGACAGGCTTCGCTGCTATGATCAGCTGTTTAAATGAATGATCCCAGCAAAATCTGGCTGATAACATTTTGATTTATGAAGACACACACTTTGAAAAAGAAAAACTAACATAGCAGCTAAAATCAACATTTTGTATGAATCATGGACACTTTATTCCCCCAAAATAACAACAACTGGCTCATTGCTACAGCCAGAAATACTTAAAATATTATTGTCAACACATGGGCAATGTATTGGTACTCTTTACCATGAATGCGGCACTGGTTAAAATAAAGCCCTCTCGTATCAAAGCAGCCTCATTTAAAAGTACAGGGTGTATTTGCACCAAGAACTCTTAAGATCAGGAGATCAGTCTCATTTAATAGGGTACTTAGGAAGTGAGGTCAAAAACTTGCGGCGGGGGCTCTCATAGTCTTGATCAGGTTACGGTGTTCGCCTCTCGTTCAATAGGTCCTGGGTTCGAAACCTGACTATGAGAGCGACGGAAAATTTTCTTTTTAATTGGCTCTGTCAAGAAACCTCACCCGCAACATTTGAGGGATACACATTCGGGGGCGAAATTTAAAACTAACTTAAAGCATACCCTATGAAAAGCAACCACAATTGTTGTTAGTCTTTCTTCTCAGTAAATGTACTCTTTTATGTTCACCGTGAAGTGCGCACATCGCCATTAACTGTGTTGTGATAGTAGGCCTACATGTATGAGTGTCGTCTGATTATGTGTTGGCGTTAATCTGTTAATCTAAAGAGCGTTAAGCACATTCGTGAAATGTACTTTATAAGCATAGGACGAGTATGCGATCATATTGGTGTGTGTGAGTGTGTGTGTGTGTGTGAGTGTGTGTGTGTGTGTGTGTGTGTGTGTGTGTGTGTGTGTGTGTGTGTGTGTGTGTTTGTATGACATAGAGAAATATTAATAAGTAAGATGGAGCAGAATTTATTTAGCTTTAAATTAGTATGCTGCACGAATGGGTTGTGCAAGGCTTTAACTCAAAGATTGGACGATTACATTTCCAAGCTTCGTTTGGACGCCACTGTTTTAATCATTATTAAAATTTTATGTTGAAAATTAATAGTTGTTTGTTTCGGTAGAGTCCTTACAGGGAATCATACTTACTCTGCTAACCTCTCTAGCCTCAACAGCAGAAAGTCTGCTTCGACTATCAAGGCACTCCGGAAACTAGCAGGTAACAAGAGTGTGACTAACATACAAAAATTAATAGCCATAAGGTTGCTATCGTTGTAAGAGGTGACAATAGTGATTGGATACACGAGTTAATCTAAATGTGTGTGTGTGCATGTGTGTGTGTTTGTGTGTGTGTGTGTGT